GCACAAACTACTGGGAGCAAGAGAGACTACAAGGATGTATTGTACAACATGGGAATATAGCCAATATTTTGTAATAACTGTAAATGGAAAGTAACCTTTAAAAATTGTATAAACATTTAAACAAATGTTTTAAAAAATAACAGTGTTAAAGCCTGGGAGGCAGTTCCGATAGACAGATGATGTAGAGCCTTGTAAATCATAGTAAAGACTTTGAACTTGTCTCTGACAGCAACTAAGAGGCTACCGAAAAGTTTCAAGTGTGAGCTAATATGATCTAACTCATTGTTTTAATGTAAATTTTCTCAAAAAAAAGAAAAAGGCAAAGCTTTTCCCACTCTGCAAGTGTGGGTGTGATGGCATGATGGTTTAAGTTAAATTCCAGGTTACAATGTATTTTCTCTGCGGAGGCATTGATAAGGTGGGAAGGAGGGCAGAGTTTCCCTGTGGGACAAATGCCAGGAACAGAAAAGGAAGAAGGACTCAGGAGCTGCTTCTGCTTTGCGGCTGTGGCTGTGTCCTGCCTAGGCCAGTCTGAAGCAGCAGGAGTGCCTTTCACAGGCGATCGCTGCTTCTCTGGCAGGTCACCTTCCTCCCCTACAGGGGGGCCCCTGGTGCTCAGCCTGGGGCTTTTTCCCTACATGTGATCTCACATAGAGATTTCATCCACTTTCAGGCATCACGGTCACCTCCCTGAGAACGGTGCCCACCTCGACATGCCCTCCCTGGCCTTGAGAAGATTCTCGCTTTTAAGTGCCACTGCCCTGTGTCTGTATATCATGTTACTGACCATTGCAAAGACAGCTGTTCACTGTCGGTCTGTGTATAGATCAGTAATGCTGGAAAAATCACCCAGGCCCAGCCTTGCCTGCTCTCCCAGGCTTCAGTAACGTGACTCACACTGTCCGCTGAACAGCTGACCCTGGGACATCACGGTCACTGCAAACAGCCTGCCTGTAATTGAACTCATTATGCCTTTCCCAAACAAACTGACCTCTGACCGGCCTCCTCCGCCTTTGTCAGTCACATCAGCTTTCCCTGCCTTCCAAGCTCCAAGGTCTGGTGTCATTCCTGACCCCTCTGTCTGGTGCCCTCACCAATTCCAGCACTACGATTGCGCCCGCTCACCGGGGAGCGTCATCCGAGGGGGATGCCCGAAGGCCACCGGTTCCTCCCTTTGAGTCCCCTGCAGCATCCTCACCCCCTCAGCCTATGGAAGGAGGCTTCACCACATCGCAACACCTTCTCCTAAGTCTAGGATCTTTCCCAGTATCCCTTCAGGGACGCTGTGACTGCTCTGTGTATGTGATCCTTCATCAAGCGTGCTTCGTTTAGCAAAGGCTGTTCTGTTGTATTTTTTGCAGCGGAATCTTCTTTTTTTTCCTTACAGGAATGTTAGAGAACCCCAACTTTCTGGTGGAAGATGCGCTAACAGGAACACAAGCGCCCTGATCCGCCCTCAGCCGTGGGGCAGCCTCCTTGGTACCCAGCAAGGCGGTTTGAAAACAGATGCACAGAACAGAGCTAAGCTCCCTGGAAGAATGTGCATGTGCTCTGCACCACGTCATGGAAAAAAAATTCCCGTTATCGTCAATCTATGCAAACCTTCCACCCTCGTCACACGAGTTCGCACAGAAGCCTCAGGCGCGCCGAGCCATTCCCTTGTCCTTGTCTCGGCCCTGAGCGCCTGGAAGCCAGCCGGGCATCTCTGCCAGACTAACTTCTCCTCTCTCAGCCCCGATCCCAGCTCTTCAGCGGTTCCTGGATTGCGTGCCTCTCGGTACCTTTTCTTTCCTCAAATTCCTGCGGTATTCCTCTCTTTAAACTCACCCTGTACTATCTTGAACTTTCATCTTTTCAAGCATACGTTCGATTGCTCCCACTCGATTCTAGGCCGTTTAAGGGAAGACTCAAGTCTTTGTCACTTTTTATCTTCAGCAGCTGGTATAATACGCAACCTGGAGGATTTGCTTCATGGGTATATTTGGATGATAACGCACAGCAAGAAATGGTAACTGCAGGCCCATTGATCTCACTTTCGTTAATAGAAGTCTAAGCGAAATATTCCATCTTTCAAAATGTTCCTCCAGAGTAGCGCTTTTAGGAGAAACAGTCACTTCGGCTTTAATTACAGGCACTGCTTTTACCTCCAATTACCGTTAACGTCTCCAACTCGTTTCTTCGACTGTCTTTCATTCAGTTAATGTTGGAGTAGCTTTGGGGGAATAACAACAGATGTTTGCAAGTGGGGAGTTCTTAGTCGAGGCCAGAAATAGTGCAGCATTCCATCCCCCAACATTTAGCAAAGCCACGCTTGAACCATATTCAAAAGACTACAAGAAACTAACTTGCATTAGTATAGAAGTCAAATGGGGTCACTTCTCTTTTAAGTCCCTTCACATGCTTACCTGGCCCACCCCACCTCTCCGCCCTAATCTCCACCACCCACCCTGCTCACCACACCCTGGCCACCACCCAGATGTGGGTCTGGGTACCCGGACCTCGGTGGCACACTGGCTGGACCGCCTCGTCTGTTTCTCCTTGATCAATTCCTGCCAGCCTTGACCCTCAGTCAGCTTGTCATTTTCTTCCTTTTTTTCTTTTTAATCTCTTTTTTGTGTGTCTTTTTTTTTTTTGGACGGGGGTAGGTAATTAGGTTTATTTATTTACTTATTTATTTTAATGGAGGTCCTTGGGATTGAACCCAGGACCTCATGCATGCTATACTGAGCTATACCCTCCCCCAACAGCTTGTCATTTTCTTAAGAGAATTCTTTTCTGATTCCCTACCACAGGTACCCCTTCTTCATTGTACATTCTTCCATTCCTCCTCACCATTGTAATCGTGTATTAACTGTGAAGTTGTTTTGTGTCCCTGGCCCCCATTAGACTGTAAGCTCTCAGATCTCAGAAACCATATACACTTTCAGCTGTAATATTTTCAAACAAAGCTTGAGGCCTCATGAATGCTTGAGTGAATAACTAAATGTGCATTTTATAAATGACCATCTCCTAAAACTTTCAGAGAAACAAACCATTAGAATATTATTTCCATCCAGACCTGATGGACGTAGGAAGCTTTCTCTGGGTCATGTGATTCACATGCAACACACAGACTTGTTTTATAAAAGAACTTCAACTTTCATAAAAAACAAGCCCCCCCACCCCTCAAACCACGCATTATGCCATGTGAACTTCACTGGCCCCCAAACAGAATCCACACAACTGAAATGACAATGGATAATATGAAAATGTGAAAGCCTTGTTTTGTTCAAAGTGATCTCACTTGTGCATCCCAGCCTGGATAGTCACAGCAGTCTTTTAAACATGAAGTTAATTTGGAAAATGCACACAGCTGAGTCAAAAAATGCACGCAAGCAGCCTCAAAGCCACGCCGAACTCTTTGAGGACACGATGATCACCAAAGTTAATGTGGTCTCCTTCCCTGGGGGCTCCAGCAACCCCACTGGTATGGCTGTGACCTGTTTCTGTGTCCTTTTAGTCTCCAATTACCCTGCTGAGTCAGACAACTGGAGAACAAATTAGCACCAACTGCAGAGATTTTTTTTCTGATACAAAAAAAAAAAAATCTGACCTTAAAACGTCCAAGTGTCTACTATCCTCTGCCAGGGTGCTAACAGTTCATCAAATGTGCACTGAAGAGTCTAAGGGTGACACTAAGTGACACTGGCTTGTCACTCCCTTGGCCAGCATAAATCCTTATGAAATTAAAAGGAGGAAGAGGGGGAATCTAATTCTAATCTGGAACAGCTTTCAATCCCCTCCTCCCAGATACCTCTGCATCCTTCTTCTCCTCCCCTTTTCTCCTTGAATCACCTTGCATCCAATCAGACCAAGAACAGTATGAATAAATGCTATGTTGGAGGGCAGGTGACACACACACATAACTATGTCCATCTATCTGGACGGCACCACGTCTCTCTCTGCAGTGACTGACCTGCACGTTTCTAAATCCTCAGACCCGTCCTGGTGGGCGGTGGGAGGCTTCTGGGCAGGGTTATTCACCTGGGACCCAGCATCGTCCACAAACTTGCCCCCTTCTTTCGCTGCTGGTGTTTCAGGGCTGGAATCTGTCTCTGAAAACCTTTTCTTGATTGTTTCACTTTGCCCAAGACCAGGCAGGCGCTGACGACCCCGGTGGCGGGACCTGCCTTTGCTTTCCTCGTGGCTCCTTGAGGGTCTCTTCATCTCGGAGGCCCCTCCCAGCAGGGAAGGACCGCATTCTTGGTACCTGGTGCCTTCTCCCCTGCGGAGACTTAAGGAGCTCTCCCCCTCCGTCAGCCGGGCTGGCGCCTGACCCTGGGATCCCACATCTCCTGGCTCAATTCCACCAGCAGCAGAGGACTCATCCAAGTTGCCACTTTGTTTGTTTCTAATTCTCCTCCTCCTTCGTGCCAGGCGGAACTTCACTTGGGCTGCTCTCTTCGCCTGGATCCAGTGACTCTCGTCTGCGGTGCTGGAGTCTGACGAATCTGTGTCGGTCTCCCTCCATCGAGGGCTCGAGATCTGGAGGTGAACATCCTTTCTCCTCCCTGTGGCTCGTTCTTCTGCACACTCGTGTCTGTCCGCCACCCTCCTCCTCCTCCTCCTCAGCCTCCGTTTGACTGATTTGTGACCAGACTCCTTCCTAGCAGGGCCCAGCACCGTGACAGGGGTGCTTTGCTCAAAGGCCGCTTCTGACAAGTCATGTAAGACGGCAGATCTAGACAAAGCGGCGGGCGAAGGATGGGAGACGGGAGTGGAGAGGAAAGCCACGGGAAAACAGAGAGAGAGAGTGATGAAAACGAACGTGTGGACCCGAAGGTGGTTCAGCAAAGATCGAATGAGGGAAATGCACTACAGGCAAAAATTACGCTGGCGTAAAACATCCCTGGACAAATGTACAGCAGAAGCAAGAACCACACACGGTCTGAATCTCCGACAAGAACACGCAACACTGGTCTAGAAAAAACACTGAACAGGGTCATCCGCTGAGCACTTACCTGCAGATGTCCTGAGTGGATGGACAGACGGACAACCGTGACTGGCTCCTGGGAGCTGTCCCTGTCGTTGGGCTGCTGGCCTGGAGAAACAAGTTAGATAATTTGGCATCTTGGTTAAGGTAATACATGGTCGAGATCTTGCTTTTTTTCCACATGTTTAAAAAGTTACAACAAACTCGACTGTCGGTCATGTTGCTTGTAAGGCAGCTCATCAAATGTAGGAAGTCAGAGGGCTCGTTTTGCAAAAGTAAAACTTTTTTGAGGAACTTGGACCAGCTGAGAGGCTGTGCCGCTTGGCTGTTGCTTCATTTGTGAGAGAGGAAGATGATTCCACAAGTTTCTATTCTATTTACTGTAAACTTTTGAGTGGAATGGCTCAACTTGCCTTGGAGACAAATGGGTGACACTTGAATATCCTATGATAGAAAGGACTTAATGGCTATTTTTGTGACAAAGATGATGATATTCTGGGAGGTCTGAATAATCAAGTAGCCATTAGGTGGCTGGAAACTGCCTGGAGTTACATGAAGTCACCTTAAGGCCCCATGAGATGACATATCTTTAAAATGTTGTATTGTTCAAAAGCCTACAGTTGTCATTATTATTATGATTTCATCATTGAATCTAATAAAATCTATCCATCAC